CGCCGCGGGGGCCCAGCACGATGCCCGCCCAGAGGAGAGCGTGGAGGGGAGCAGCCCTGCCCTCAGCCCCCTGCCCCACGCCACGGCCGCAGCGGGGCCGGGGGAGGCCACCCCCGTGGCTGGCACCGCCACCCCGAACTCTGACCCCCCCGTGGAGCCTGGCATAGATGGCGCCCAGCCTGCGCCAGAGGCCTCTGAGGCGCCGGCGCCGATGCCCGGGCAGGCTGCCGCCGAGAGCGCCGCGTGTGCCGCCGGCGATGCCGACCGGACGCCGGACAAGACCTTCTCCAGTGCCAGCTTCCCCAGCGTGGACGAGGGGAGCGATGAGGACACGGCGGAGCTGACCTCCGGCATCTTCACCGACTTCTCCGGGGACTACGTGGAGCGGGCGGAGGTGGCCCCAGCCTTCAAGTCCCTGCAGAAGCAGGTGGGGACGCCGGACTCCCTGGAGTCGCTGGACATCCCATCCACAGCCAGCTCCTGCGAGGTCTTCAGCCCCACTGCCTTCGTGCCCGCCGGCCAGCCCAAGGCGCTCGACAGCGGCTACGACACCGAGAACAACGAGTCCCCCGAGTTTGTCCTCAAAGAGCCCCATGAGCCCCGAGAGCCGGAGGCCTTCAGCCAGCTGGGGAAGCCACCCCCGGGGCTGCCGGGGGGCGAGGGTGAGGGTCCGGCCCCCGAAACGCGGCTCTCCACCTCCCTCGGGGCCGAGCTGCACAGCCTGGCCGAGAAGAACCCCTACCGCGACTCTGCCTACTTCTCCGACTACGACGCCGAGGCCGAGCGTGGCCCCAAGGACGAGGAGGACAGCGATGGGTCCCAGACCCCGGAGGCAGAGGAGGGTCCCCGACCCCCTGTGCAGGACATGGGGCGAGCCCCCGTGCCGGGAGAGGACCCTCTGCACCCCCCAGGGGCGCCCGGCAGCCCCCCGGCAGCGCCCGGCGTTGCGGTGGCAGTGGACACGCCGGTGGCGGGGGGTTTGGTGGGGGACTGGAGGGGGGCAGAAGCTGGGAGCACGGCGGCCCCCACGGCGCCTGGCACCGAGCAGCGACCCGCCGGCACGGGGCTGGTACCGGGCAGCTCCCCGCATCCCGACGGAGATACCTGTCCCCCGGGTTCTGTGCCACCCAAGACTTTCTTCTTGACCCCAGTGCCAACGAGCCCCGGGGAGCCGGTGCCCCTCGGAGGGACCCCTGTGCCCGAGGGTGTCCCCGGACTTGGGGAAGCCACAGTTGGGGGCGAACAGACTGTGCCCCCCTCACCGGGGATTGGGGAACTGGGACTGCCACCGGAGGGGACTGGGGTGGGTGACGCGCCGGGGGGTCCCAGCACGCTGCTACCGGGGGGTGAGTCACCCCCAGGCCTCTCCCCGCTCCCGTCCCCCCGGGAGCCACGGCCAGTTGCCCCCGAGCGCCGTGAGGAGGCGGAGGAGGAGGAGGAGGACACGGAGGACAGCGATGAGTCGGATGAGGAACTGCGCTGCTACAACATCCAGGAGCAAAGCGAGGAGAGCGAGGAGGAGCCGGTGGCCGTGCCCATCGTGGTGGCCGAGAGCCAGAGTGGCAGGAACCTGCGCAGCCTCCTCAAGATGCCCAGCCTGCTCTCCGAGGCCTTCTGCGAGGACCTGGAGCGCAAGAAGAAGGCCGTCTCCTTCTACGATGACGTTACCATCTACCTCTTCGACCAGGTGGGTGGCCACGGGCACTGAGCACAGCCCCAGGGGGGTTTTTGGGTGCTGGGGACTGATGGGAGCCGTCCCCAAGGGTGACTCCATCCATGGTCTGTTCCCACCTGTCCCATTTTGTGCAGGAAAGCCCCACGCGGGAGCTGGCTGAGCAGAGCTTCCCAGAGCCCCCCCAGCCTTCGGGGCAGCCCCCCACCGGCGGCAGCCCCCCCAGCCCGGCGGACAGGCTGGGCACCTCGGACGACTCCTCGGACGGCAATGCCTCGGAAGAGAGTAAGGGGCTGGGGAGGGTTATGGAGGGGGGGGCACGGTGGGGCAGGCTGGGGTGACCCCACGGTGGGCTCAGCCCCCTCTCTCCATGTCACAGGCGGTGGCTTCGAGTGGGATGACGACTTCCCGCTCATGCCGGTGAAGCCGTCCCTGATGGCCTCGCTGACGGGGACGCCGGCAGAGCCCGCCCCGGCCGTGCCCGCGCTGCCCACCCTGGTGCCGGCGCAGAAGCAGGTGCTGCCCATCCAGTTCTCCCGCTTCACGGTCTCACCCGCCCCGGTGTCCCGCTTCTCCATCACCCACGTCTCCGACTCGGACATGGACTCCATAGGAGGTGAGTCCCAGGAACCCACCACCATCCCAGAGAGCTGCCATCCCTCCCCTCCGTCCCGGTGCCAGCCGGGAGCGTGCGGGACACCCTGCCCTTGTGCCATGTGGGGACTGTCACCCCCTCCGAAGGGCTGGGTGTCCCATGGGTGCGCTGCCACCTACTCATGCCACCTCTCCGGTCCTTGCAGGCAGCAGCGAAGACGGTGACCGGGAGTGAGGCAGCCGGGATGCCAACCGGGCATCGTCCCGGCAGAGGACGGCAGGGCCGGGAGCGGGGTCCGGGCGGGGGGGGGGGCCCAGACCACGTTTTTATTTTAGGCAGATTTTTATCGGAAGGAGCTCGTTTGCTGCTGCGAGCGGGAGCGGGGCCCGGGGCCAGGCGGTGGGTGACGGCCATGCGTGTGTGTGCGTGTGCGGGTGGCTGCGCGTGTGCGTGTATAAATAGACACATATATATATATATA